GCCAACCCTATACATGTTCTTGGATACACTCCCCATTTCATAGACATACCTAATAGTTCAGCCTGTCCACCCATCTATCCACCCATATACCCATGTTTTCCTTCACTGATAACACAGTACTGTATGTGCAAAAGGGTTCATCTTTGTTGTCTGTACCTCCCATGGACCTCTCTATGTCTTTCTCATCCTCAGTGCTGCCATATTGGTCACTCACATTTGGTCATGTACTATTTTTGATGGAGACAAAAACAGACCTTTAACCCCAGTTCAAGAAAATGAAATAAACCTCCTATAGAAATCACAGAAGATGGGAGGTAGGGATAGAAAGGAAAATTAATGTTTTTTAAGATTCTTCTTTCCCTTTCTGAAGCCAGTGCTTCTAACAATTTATTTTTTCATTACACTCTTCTACTTATTACATTAGTAATTCAATTAGTCATTCAATTGATAATTTTGAACTTAGAAACCTAGAAAACAACAATTGAATATAGAGGATTATTATTTCCATTTACCTGTTAATAAAGAATTTATTCCTCATGCTGTGAATTTGAATGTCAGAGTAAAAAGAAAAAAAGTTATGTCTAATATTGACATTATTAATGCTGTAGTTTTATTTTGCTACCCTGAGCTTATCACCACCACTTAACACATGAAATGATGCAAATATGCTTGCTTACAATTGTCTGTTTTCTCATTACTTTATATGTGTAACTCTTACTTTATAAAGGAAATTGAAAGTCTTGTTAGGGACATGGGCATCATTACAGATTTTTCTAGCAAATTGTACCAAATTAATTTTATTTAGGTAAAAATTTTAGGCTTCACCATTTGTTACTTTAACTACATATTGGCAGCTATTACTGTTTTTGAAAAATTAAAGTTATATATTAAATGCATAAGAAAATCACAGTAGACTATGATGCAAGTAATTAGTTATACCTTTAATGCCTATAATTGATTAATTATATGAAGGCAACTCATTTCGTCTTCTAGAGACTCACTTGTGAATTCTGGATGGTGAAGTTAGAGTAAATGATCTATGAGGCCTTTTTCATTTATATAACATTTTAAAATTCCATTTAAATTCCGTTGTTCATAGAGTCGCTATGGGAGCTCTGGTGACATAATGCCTAAGGCATTTGACTGCTAACCAGAAGGTTGGCGGTTCAAACCCACCAGCCACTCTTTGGAAAGAAGACTGGGCAGTCTACTTCCGTAGAGATACCACCTCGGAAACCCAAGGAGGGGTCACTATGAGTCGGAATTGACTCAACGGCAGTGAGTTTGGGTTTTTTGTATAGAGTTGCTATGCATTGGAGCTGAATCGATGGCACCTAACAGCAACAACAGAGGTAAAATGTCAGCCAACTGTATCAAAGCTAGAGTAAAACTTTGAGTTTGTTGTTATTAGGTGCTGTCAAGTTGGTTCTGCTTCATAGTGACTCTAAAAGAACACACACTTTGGTTACAATAGAATGAAACACTGCCTGGTTGTGTACCATCTTCACAGTCCTTGCTATACATGAGCCTGTCATTACAGCCACTGTGTCAATCCATCTTGTTGAGGGTCTTCCACTTTTTTGCTGACCCTGACTTTACAAAGCATGATATCCTTCTCTAGGGAATGATCCCTTCTGACAACATGACCAAAGTAGATGAGACAAATTCGGGCCATTCTCACTTCCAAAGAGTATTCCAGCTGCACTTCTTCCAGGACAGATTTGTTATTCATCAATGGTACTTGAAGTATTCTTCACCAACAGCACATTTCAAAAGAATCAATTCTTCTTTGGACTTTCTTTATGCATTGTCTAGCTTTCACATGCATACAAGGTGATTGAAAATACCATGGCTTGGGTTAGGCACACATTAGTCTTCAAAGTAACATCTTTGCTCTTCAGCACTTTAAAGAGGTCTTTTGCAGAAGATTTGCCCAATGTAATATGATGTAAATTTCTTGACTGCTCCTTCCATGGGTGTTGATTATGGATCCAAGTGAAATGAAATCTTTGACAATCTCAATCTTTTCTCCATTTATCATGCATGATGCTGCTTATTGTTCCACTTGTGAGGGTTTTCATTTTCTTTATGTTAAAGTGTAATTCATACTGCACATTGCAGTCTTTAATCTTCTTCAGTAAGTGTTTCAAGTCATCTTCACTTTCAGCAACCAAGGTTGTGTTGTCTGCATATCACAGGTTGTTAATGAGTCTTCCTCCAATCCTGATGCCACATTCTTCTTCATATAGTCCAGGATTTTGGATTATTTGCTCAGCATACAGATTGAATAAGTATGGTGAAAGGATACAACCCTGACGCACATCCTTCCTGATTATAAATCATGCAGTATCCCCTTATTCTATTTAAATGGTAGCTCCTGCTCTGATTCCTCATGAGCACAGTTAAGTGTTCTAGAATTCCCATTCTTCACAATGAATTTTTTATGATCCACACAGTCAAATGCTTTGGCATAGTCAATAAGACACAAGTAAACATCTTTCTGGTATTCTTTGCTTTCAGCCAAGATCCATCTGACATCAGCAATGATATCCCCTGTTCTTGTCCTCTTCTGAATCCAGCTTGACCTTTTTGGAAGTTCTCTGTCAATATCCTGCTGCAACCAGTTTTGAATTATCTTCAGCAAAATTTTACTTGTGTTGATATTAATGATATTATTCGATAATTTCCACATTTGTTGGACTATCTTTCTTTGGAGTAGGCACAGATAATGGATCTTTTCAAGTCAGTTGGCCAGGTAACTATTTTCCTAATTACTTGGCATAGACAAGTAAATGCCTCCAGTGCAGCATCCATTTGTTGAAATGGCTCAGTGGGTATTCCATCAATTCCTGGAGCATTATTTTTCCCCAATATCTTCAGTGCAGCTTGGACTTCTTCTTTCAATACCATTGTTTCTAGATCATATGCCACCTCCTGATACAGTTGAACATCGACCAATTATTTTTTGTACCATGACTCTGTGTATTCCTTCCTTCTTCTTTTGATGCTTCCTGTAGAATCTTTCAATTTTACAACTTGAGGCTTGAATTTTTTCTTTTGTTCCTTCAGCTTGAGAAATGCCAAGTGTTCTTCCCTTTTGGCTTTCTAACTCCAGGTCTTTGCACATTTCATTATAATAATTGACTTTGTCTTTTTGAGCTGCTCTTTGAAATCTCCTGTTCAACTCTTTTATCTTGTCATTTCTTCCATTTGTTTTAGCTACTGTTCAAGAGCAAGTTTCAGTCTTCTGATATCCATTTTGACCTTTTCTTCCTTTCCTTTCTTTTTAATGACATTTTGCTTTCATCATGTATAATGTTCTTGATGTCATCCCACAACTCGTTTGGTTTTCAGTTACTGGTATACAATGCATGAGATCTATTCTTCAGATAGTCTCTTAATTCAGGTGGGATATAATCAAGATTGTATTTTGGCTCTCATGGACTTGTTTTAATTGTGTTCAGCTTCTTCTTGAACTTTTTTTATATGAGTAATTGATCATCTTTTCCACAGCAGCTCCTGGCCTTGTTTTGGTTGAAGATAATGAGCTTCTCCATTGCCTCTTTACACAAATGTGGTTGATCAGATTTCTGTGTATTCCATCTTGAGAGGTTCATGTGTATATTATTGAAAAGGGTATTTGCAATGGATAAGTCATTGGTCTTGCAGAATTCTATCATGTGATCTCTGGTGTCATTTTTATCACCAAGGCCGTAATATATCCAACTACTGATGAGTCTTCTTTGTTTCTAACTTTCACATTTCAGTCACCAGTAATCATTAATACATCTTGATTGTATGTTTGGTCAATTTCAGCATTAAGTTGGTAAATATCTTCAGTTTCTTCAGCGGTTGGTGTATAAATTTGAATAATAGTAATATGAACTGATTTTCCTTGTAGGCGTATGGATATTATCCTATCACTGACAGCATTGTAGTGCAAAATAGATCTTGAAACATTCTTTGTGATAGTGAATGTGATGCCATTCCTCTTCACTTTGTCATTCCCAGCATAGAATCTTATTATTGTCTGATTCAAAATGACCAATGCCAGTCATCCATTTGAGCTCACTAATGCCTAAGATTTTGATCTTTATGCATTCCATTTCTTTTTGGATCACTTCCACATTTCCTAGAGTCATACTTTGTACATTCCACATTCAATTATTAGTGGATGTTTACAGCTGTTTCTTTCCATTTTGAGTCATGCCCCATCAGTAAATGAGGGTCCTGAAAGCTTTACTCCATCCACCTCATTAAGGTCCACTCTACTTTGAGGAGGCAGCTCTTCCCCAGTCATTATTTTGAGTGCCTTCTGACCTGAGGGGCTCATCTCTGGCACTGTATCAGACAGTATTTCATGGCTGTTCATAGTTTTCCAGTAATAATATATAACACACTGTTTCACTGCTGTTTATAAGGTTTTCACAGGCCAATTCTTTGAGAAGTGGATGGCCCCTTCCTTCTTCCCAGTCTTAGTCTGGAAGCTCCACTGAAACCTGTCTACTATGGGTGACCCTGCTGGTATTTGAAATGTTGATCGTATAGCCTCCAGCCTCACAACATGCAGGCCAGCACAGTATGACACAGTGACAGATGAGTGGTGGAATTTTGAATTTGGAAACCAAAAATCTTTATGAAGATAACATTTAACTTTCTAAAAATGCATTTGTTTAATTTATAGTACTTGCTTTTTTTTAGACAGGTTACTTGATACTTATTGCTGTCATGCTGGTTTCTCGAACATATTGTGATGTTTGGATGATTCAAAATGGGACACTTATTGAAAGGTACCTTTTCTTTCACCTTCCTCCTATATGTATGAAATACTGGTGTGTTTCATATTTAAGTAGTACCTTAATTCTAAATTAGGCATAATATACTAGGTCAAATTATGTATTTATTTATTTATTGAGTAAATATTTATTGAGTGTTTATAATGATGGGATATACCAGTGAACAGGAGAGACCCTGTACCAAGACTCACTGAGCTCACAGTATATCGAGGGTTACCAGTCCAACTGCCAATGAATTGATCCTGACTCATGGCAACCCCATGTATATCAGGATAGAACTGTATTCCTTGGCATTTTCAATGGCTCATTTTATGGCAATTGATTGCCAAGTCTTTTTCAGAGCTGCCTCTGGATAGACTCAACTTCCATGTAAACAGAAAATGATAATGCAGTATAAGAAGTGCTGTAATTGGTTTTATTTTAATGAAATAAAATGAGATAATTTGGAGGAAAGTATCAAAGCATTTAAGAGGAACACAATGATTTTATTATCAAGAAAGAAAATTTTAGTCTTCTGTTTCTGAAGACAGTACTTTTAATATTATTTTTTATTATGCTATTCTATATATTACATTACTCAGTCATTGCAGTTGAATTTTGAATTTAGAAAGTTAAAAAATAATTGAATATCTAGGGTTATTATTATAGCTATTTACCGTTTACCTGTTAATAAAGAGTGTATTCCTTATAATACCAATTTAAATGTTAGCTTAAAAAAAAATTTTTTTTTCCATGAGATTTTTTGTTTGGTTTTCATTTTGTCTATGAGTGTCTCACATCGTCTTTTTGAAAAACATTATTTTGGTGTAATCTCAGACTTACAGAGAAGTTTCAAGTAGCTTACTTACACACTTAACTCAGATTTACCAATTGTAGAAGTAATTTTAAAGTTAATTGTTTGACTTAACAATTTTTACATTGGTAGTTGATTAAATTAAACCTTTAAAAATATTGAGAATTCATAATAATTTTATTTAAAAACTTAACACGTTTCTCTAGCTTGCTGCTAAAGCTACCTTGTGAATAGATTTATCTGTCTTCCTTTTTGCCTCTTCCAAAGTAAGTTTAGATTAGTGTATTTTTGCTAAAAGAGTCTCAGAGACTCATTATCATTCCTAATGTACTTCATTTTAATATCATTTTCATTTTTTATGCTTATTAGCAGTGAGTGACTAATGACTTTGGAAAGGAGCTCTGGTGGTGTAGTGGTCATGGCATTGGGCTACTCACCAAAAGGTCAGTGGTTCGAACCCATCAGCTGCTCTGCAGAAGAAAGATGAAGCAGTCTGCTTCCATAAAGATTTACAGCCTTGCAAACCCAATAGGATTCACTATGAGTCAGAATCGACTTGATGGTAGTGAGTGAGTTTGAGTGACTTTGAAGGACGGGCAAATCTTAACAAGACAGAGTCCTTTAAGATAGAAACTAGTGATTTCCTGATGTAGAGGAGAATGCTTCATTCCCTCTTGCTGTTGTGTCTAATTATAAATATGTATTTTCTTTTCACTCAGTTGGCTGCAAGCAGCATTTTAAAATTTTTTAAGTATTGTTTGTAAAGATTGTAATACATATATTTAGAAGTAATAATGATTAGGGCTCTTACAGATTACTCTTTGTTAATTATTATTATTATTATTTGCAGTGGAATAATAAGCAGAAATAAGGCTTTCTTCAAGGAACCATTTTTTAAATTCATAGCTGCTACTCCAATGGTAAACTATTGCTGAATGATGGCATGTGCTTTACCATAGTTTTATAATCCTGTGTGGTTCATAGCTTGGGCACCATTGAAGCACTTTGGTTTTGTACAGTTTGGTTCAAACAATTTTAACTAAATCTCTAAATGTTTTATACTCTCTTAATTGCTTCATGTTTCTAATATTGTTATTGCTTATACACAGTTTTCTTTTTTGTAGTTCTATTTTAACTTCTGTCTAGTTCAGCAGGTTTTTTTTTTTTTGATTTTTGCTTTTTAAAAGTTATATCAAAATTTGACTATAATTTTTCTATCAGTCTAAAGCAACATTTCCTGAAGTTTGTTTTGTGGAATACTAGCTGGAGGAAGTATAACATCTCTAATCTCAGAGGGTTAGAATTCATATATTATGTATTAAAAACTTTGAGAAATTGTTTGGTAAAGACCTCTGTTAACTTTCTGTAATCCAGGGTTTCCCAAGTTTATTTGACAAAGAAACATTTTTTCTCTAAAAGACAATGATGGTACTTGATATTATTCACCTACTCCATGATAAAAATCAAATTATATTTCTGTCTTATACCAGCCATTTTTTGGGGGGCACAAGGTTTAAATCATTTAGTCCGCTGTTTCTCAGAATAGATTTTATTTACATTTGAAAATATTAATGTTATTTGAAAAAAGAATTGTATGATCACATAATTTATTTCTTTTTAGCTCATCAAAGACACGGGATTCAAAGATTCTTTGCTTGCATGACATAACTATTTCCAAACTTTTTTTTGAAGTAATAGAGCCCTTATTTTAAATAAATTCTTACTGTATATTTTAAAACAGTTAAATGTGAAAACCTATTTAAAAAAAAAAAAAAACATAAAAGAGGAGCTGGTCTAGTTGTAAAATGTTAAAGGAACAGAAACCTCCATAGAATCATTCTGAGACTCCAAGGAACCCTACTTGTCTATTCCGAATCCAGCATTTAGTCCCAGGGTCTGCAAACTACAATCTTCCAAATCCTGCTGCTGCCTGTTTTGCAAAATTTTACTGGAACACAGCTACACTCACTTTTGCTTGCGCTTGTTCTTCTGTGGCAGCATTTGAGTAGTGGCAACACAGAACTTTGGTCCCACAAAGCCTAAAATATTTATTCTAGACCCTTTACAGAAAGTTTTATTCCCTCATCTTGCCTTTAGTTCACACAGATGAAAATCAGGACATTAAAATATTTTTAAAAAAACAAATGGTATTTTATGTTTGTTTTATCCATAGTAATGCATTCCTGGGTCTATAGTTTTTCATTGTTTTCTTGCCATCTAAACTTCTTTTATGGCATTTGTCTTGGTTATCTACTGCTTCTATAACAGAAGTACCACAAGTGGGTGGCTTTAACAAACAGACATTTATTTTCTCACAAATTAGGAGGATGGAAGTCCAAATTTAGGGTACTGGCTCTTGGGGAAGACTTTCTCTGTTGGCTCTGGGAGAATGGCTTGTCTCTTTTTACCTTCTGTTTCTTGGTTCCTTGGAGATCGCATATGGCAAGGCATCTATCATCCCTCAACTGCCCTTTTTTTTATCTCCAAAGAGATTAATTTTAACAATTACCCTATACTAACACTTCCTCATTAACATAACAGAGAAAACCCATTCCCGAATAGGCTTACAACCACAGTTACAAAAAACACCAAACCCATTATTACCACTGAGTCTGTTCCAACTCATAGGAACCCTTTAGGACAAAGTAGAACTACCTGTAGGATTTCCAATACTATAAGCCGACTACCACATCTTTTTCTTATGGAGTGACTGAAAGTTCAAACCACTGACCAACACTATTTTTGGGGAGACAGTTCAGCCACTCCTCAGAAGAAAGGTTGGGCAATCTACTTCCATAGTGATACCGCCTCAGAAACCCAAGGAGGGGTCGTTATGAGTCGGGACCGATTCGATGGCACATAACAACAACAACAACAACAGTTCAGTCAGTAACAGCAGCTTAAGCCTTTTTTTTTTTTTTTAAAATGGGCACTTTTACTAAGTAAATAACTAATTTTCATTCTCATTCCTAGTTTTGTTGTTTGCAGCAATCTGTTTAAAATGATAAAATTTCAAAAGTTGCAAACATGTTTTTATAAGAAAAAACTTTTTTGCAACTTTGTTTCTTACTGATTCTTTTGATTCAATAAAAATTCCCAAGAATAATTTTATAGGTTTACCAAAATCGTCTTGATGTTATGTTTTGCTTCTTTTGCAACTAATGCATTGCATGTGGTGGTTTGCAGTGGTATCATTGGTCGTAGCAGAAAAGATTTCAAGAGATACTTATTCAACTTCATCGCTGCCATGCCACTCGTAAGTGTAATTCTTTAAAAATCTTACTTAAATAGGAAAAAATTACATCTTATTAAATCCTTATGAATTAATAATTAATACTAAATTCTTTAAAGATTTATGATACTACTAAATTCCTATTTTAAGTTTAGTTTTATAGTTTATAGCAGAATTTTTCAGTATAAACCTTTATACCAGAAGGAATTTTGGTTCATTTTCATTTATAGTATACATTTGTGGGTGATTTTTTTTTTACCTCTAGGCCAGAATTTCTCATGACACTATTGACATTTTGGGTTCGATAATTCTTTGTTGTGGAAGCTGTCCTGTGCATTTTAGGGCATTTTGCAATACCTCTGGCCTTTATGCATTAGATGCCAGTAGTACCTCATCCCCATCCAGTTGAGACAACCAAAAATGTCTCCAGAGATTGCCAGATGTCCCTGGGGGCACAAAATTATCCTGGTTGAGAACTACTGCTTTAGATCATAGACTATTACAGTAGCATGAACCAATTATGTACTTTTAGGTTGGAATTATTTTGGGGGTGGAAAAGAGAACCTTGATTGTGAAATGGAATTAAATTGAAAATGTCAGAAATTGTAGCCTAATAAATCTTGAGGAAAGGAATACATTATTTTAGGTCTTTTAAAATAAATAAAAGAAATATAGATATCAGTTATAGATTGAGATTCAGTAGAAGACCACAAAATCAAACTTGAGTCTTTAAGAGATTATAGGAAAGAAACACCAGACTGCTACGGGAGAGACAGAAATTATATTCAGGTATATCTATGTATGGTAGAAAATAGAATATTTATAAAATCTATGGGGGAGATGCAAAATAATCATACAGTTGGGTAAAAGAAATTGCTTAAATTCCAGTATGATTTGTGAATATATCAGGAATATGGAAAAAATGCTTAAGATCTAAACTTAAAAATAAAGTATGTTAAAAACAAAGCCCCATATGTAAAATACTAGAAAAAAATATTCTAATTGTGTTTAAGGACAAATTGGGTAATTTGAGAATTTTCTTTAAAGACCTAATAGCTTGTAATAGAAAAATAAGCATTTATTTAAAAACAACAGCAAAAACCTAACACATTCTAATTGTGTAGGGTCAGAGACCTGAAGATTTGGGCTGCATTTCTGAGTGTATAGAATGATGTTGCTTTCATTCTGTGTTCTTATTTAAGAGAAGAGAGAGATTCCCGTGTGTGTGTGTGTGTGTGTGTGTGTGTAGAGGCGTAGCTTTAAAGACAAATGCCAAGATTTACCATAATATTTATTCTTAAATATTAGCTCATGAGAGTGGTAATGCCTTAGGGTAGAAGTTAATTAGATAACAGATTAACTTCTTCTTCTGGTCAGGTAAGGGGTGGGCAGTATTCTCAGTACCAGAAATCCTCAGCCTTTTCATTTTCAGAAGAGATTCAGTCTTTACATTCTAAAAACCTAATCATCATCTAAAAGCAAATGTCAAGTGAAATAGGGCAAAAGATGTTACAAGGCGTTGGCTGGAGGGAACCAGACTAGAAAGGTGTTGGTGACGCTCAGTACCTGGTAGAGAACATAACCCTGTCAGTAGCTTCTAGCTATGTTCTTTCCTATTGGAAATGCCTGGGGATGTTTATAAATGGGCATGGTAGCAGTTATTGCCCTTATATAAGCAAAGTTGGACATCATGTGGCCAATTGGATTATAAAATTACAAAGCTCCCGTCCCTCACTGTTCTTCATTGCTTACTGTATTTCTTTGCTCATAACACACCAATATAAATGGCATGCACAAACATAATGCACATAGCATGCATAGGAACCTAACATAGGAGGAGGTAGCACAGTTTGGAAAACAGCAACAGCAACTGTATAATTCACACTTTGTTTGCATAAAAAAATATAATATTTAGGCATTGGTACTATCCTAGAGCTGACTCAAAAAACAAAACAAAACAAAAAACAAAACCCTGATGTAAAAATAGCATGTCATATTTTGAACACTGTTTAATCATTGACAGTATTCAGCGTTTCTCAACAAAGAAATTGTGCCTTTGGGTAAGTTACTTGCTAACTCTGGACCCTGGTGCCCTCATTTGAATTAGTTTTGTCCAATTCTAAAATCTGTGAAATAGGCTAAGTGAACGCTTTTGTTTGACATAATTTTTTATTTGATGTAATTCTGTCACTGTACTTGGCAAAGTTAGATGTTTTGGCTAACAAAAGAAAAATGCCTTGCCATATAGGATTAGACACTACTGTGATTTTTGTTGAAGTCCTTGAGTGGTACAAAAGGTTAATGTGCTTGGGTGCTAACTGCAAGATTGGAAGCTCTAGTCCACCCAGAGGTTCTTCAGAAGAAAGTCCTTGCGATCTACCTAAAAAAATTTGCCAGTGAAAGTTCCATGAATTACAAAAGTCCAATCCTGTTGTGTGTTGGATCATCATGAGTCAGGGGCCTACTTGAAGGCAACTAACAAGAATAGCATCTAGTAGACCATATATTGCATTGAAAAATGCCTGTGTACTTACCAGTATTTATTAAATCATAAATTTAACATCTGCTTTATGCCAGATACCATACTAGTAGATACTGAGGACAGTGGTGAAGACACAGGCCCTGCCCTAAAGGATCTTGCATTGTACTGGGGAACACTTGCAGTTCCTCATGCTGCAGCCAGATTTTGTGGAGTACATATGAAAGGCATTTAGCCTAGTGCTGGAGGGATTCAAAAACCAAACCAAATCTACTGCCGTCAAGTTGATTCTGACTCATAGCGACCCTCTAGGACCGAGTAGAACTGCCCCATAGGGTTTCTAAGGTTGTAATCTTTATGTAAACTGGCTGCCACATCTTCTTCCCACAGAGCAGTGGTGAATTCAAACTGCTAAACTTTTGGTTGGCAGCCTAGCTTTTTAACCATCGTACCACCTTGTTGGAGGTATTAGGAAAGACTTTTCTAGGGCAGGTCACACATCTGAACTGAGTTCTTTGTATAAGAGGTTACTGTTGTTAGGTGCTATCAAGTGGATCTTGACACATAGCGACCCTGCATGACAGAGTAGAAGTGCTCCATAGGGCTTTCTTGGTTATCATGGTATCTATTTTTGTGTGTGTGTTGTAAAATATATATAACAAAACATTTGCCATTTTAACCTTTTTTTTTTTAAAGTGTACAATTCAGTGACATTAATTATATTTACTATGTTGTACAACCATCACCTCTATCCGTTTCCAAATGTTTTTCATGACCCTAAACAGAAGCTCAATGCCCATTTAGTAGTAACACCTTTTCCTTCTGCCCCTAGACCAGGAAAAGAGAAAAAAAAAAAAACCTCACTGCTGTCAAGTTGATTCAACTCATAGTGACCCCTCCTTGGGTTTCTGAGGTGGTATCTCTATGGAAGTAGATTGCCCAACCTTCTTTCTGAGGACTGGCTGATGGGTTTGAACCACTAGCCATCTGGTTAGCAGTCAAAAGCCTTAGGCACTATGCTACCAGAACTCCTAGACCCTAATTACCACTAATAAACTTTTGCTGTATGCATTTGCCAGCTCTATATATTTCATGTAAATGTGAACATGCAATATTTGCCCTTCTAAAGAAAATTTAAGTCAGCAGAGGCAAGGTGGTCAGCAATACAACAGAGAAACACAAGGATAGGAACAGCATGGCTAATACCTTCATAAGGGGAAAGAATGGGGTAGACTCCCTCAGGGACTTGCCCCTGTCTAGTCTCTGGGAGGGATTTCCCTGCTGTGGGGATGTGTGCATCACCAGGCTCTTTGGTTGTAATTTTTATGGCAGCAGATTGCCAGGTCTTTTTCCAGTGGAACCAGTAGGTAGGTTGAAACCACCAACTTTGTGGTTAGCAGCCAAGCACTTAACCTTTACGCACTAGGGTTCCTTTGTGTAAGAAGACTGGTAGCCAAATAAAAACTAAAGATTCTAGGGTAAGTGCAGCAGAAACAGTGGTAGAGAGGTTGGGAGATGAAACTAGAACAATAAGCATGTGCCTTATTACGAAGAACTTTTTATGTTGCTTTAAGGAGTTAAGAGCAGATTCAATAATAGCAACTTTACGAACAGCAAGGAATTGGGACTTGTATTGCTGGGGCTGTAGGATCCATGTAAGGATTTTAAGCAGTAGAATGTCATAGTCAAATGAGTATGTTAAAGAGCTTATTCTGACTGAATTGTGGAGAATGACCTGCAGAAGGTTTGTTATAATAACCCTGATCATTGATGTTGGTGGTAGAGTAAACTAGAATTGTAATTTGAGGTGGAAGGAAGTAGACAGGTTATAAAAATACTGAGTTAAAAGCAGTAGGACTTGATGGCTGCTTGAAGATGGAGGCATGGATACCTGTCAGATTTCCAGATTGCGCAGCTGAGTTGAATGGTATTACAATTCACTAGGAATCTCATGAGGGTTCAGATTTTTTAAGTAAAAGTAGTCCTCTGGTGTAGTAATACTTTTCTAGAGATGAAATATTTTTGTGGTTTGTCAACCCATGCAGTCCTGCTTGACAGTATTTAAATTTTTCTAAAAAGGAAGAAAGGAAATCTCTTATAATTGCAGAAAACAATTTGAAATTAAAAAACAAAGAAACACCATTAAGGAGTACTAAGTTATTAATTTATGTCAGAAAAGAAAATAACTATGCATTGCTAATACTTGAGAAGTCAGCTGATAGGACCATTTGAAAACATCATTTGGGTTATAGATCATTTGTGCTTTGCAAAGACTATTAGAGAAAATTCATAGGCATACATGAGTTCAGAATTGTAGAAGGATTGATCTTATAAATATAATGAGAGAAAAGAGTAGTAAAGATGGCTCTAGAAATAATTTGGAAAATAGCATTCATGTATATAAAACATTGTGGTTTTTTTTTAACAGATGCAGATACAGTGTGTATAGAATTCTGTTATCTAGGGTTGTAGTACTGATACTAGGACATACGATATAAACATGTCAGGACTCTTAAAAGCAAGTCTTTACACTGATAGAAAGTAACAGATTTGGCTTGTTTATTTTACCCCCTTCCAAAAAAGGCCAGGTACTTCTCATAGGATATTAGCATATTCTAAAATTAAGTTCCAAGCAAAGTTTACCATGGACCCATTAAAGCCAGTTGCATTTAGTTTACCACATTTTCTTTGTATTTGTAAAACAAAAGTGAATCCTATCAGTTGGACCATCAGCTATAAAAATCATGGGATTCAGGGCACAGCAAATGATAGAAAAATAAATATAAGTAGAAATGAAGCAAGACTAATAACATGTGTTTGTTTGTTTGTTTGTTTGTTTGTTTTAGATCTCTCTAGTTAATAACTTCTTGAAGTTTGGGTTAAATGAGCTCAAACTGTGCTTCCGAGTAAGACTCACTAAATACCTCTATGAGGAGTATCTCCAGTAAGTGATAAACTATTTTTATATTAAAAATACTTAAATTGAACAGTAATATTTTTGATACTGAGATACAGACATTTTTTACATGTTTTTCAACAAAACTGCTAGAGACTTAAGCATAGAGGGAAATACCTCAGGTGTTTGAAATGTGCCCTTGGCTTTTCCATTAATTGGCAAGTCTGTCTTCTCTGGACCTGCTTTCTTGTTTGCAAAGTAAACAAGGACTATCTTTATAGCTTCCTTTGGCTCTAAACTTGTATGTTTCTATAAATTTGCATTGAGGTATAACGTTAATAATGTTTGCTTAGTTTTATTTTAAAAATCATTTCTTATTGCTGTTGTAGGGCTTTCACATATTATAAAATGGGAAACCTGGACAACAGAATAGCTAATCCAGATCAGCTGCTTACACAAGATGTAGAAAAATTTTGTAACAGTGTAGTTGATCTGTATTCAAATCTTAGTAAGGTAAGTTTCTCTATTTTTTAAAAATTTTAATTTGTTGAATTTTTAATCTATGTATTTACATAGAATGTAAGTGAATACTAAATAAATATTTAATGCTTTTATAAGAAAATGAGAGTTGTTACAAAAATTTTAATTATAGTATTTTTTGGTACTTTTAAAATGTATTTGTGAGCTGCTTTGGCCAGCAACTGATAATTTAATGTCTTACTAGGAGCTCTGGTAGCATAGTGGCTAAGACACTTGCCTGCTAACCAGACGGCTGGCGGTTCAAACCCACCAGCCACTCCTCGGAAGGAAGGTTGGGCAATCCTACTTCCGTAGTGATACTGCCTCGGAAACCCAAGGAGGGGTCGCTATGAGTCGGGGCCGACTCGACGGCACATAACAACAACAACAACAACTAGCTGTCAATTTATGTTTCAAATTTCATATGTATTACACTAGGCAAGGAGTTTCTGTTGTTGTTACGTGCTGTTGAGTCGATTGCCAAGCATAGCAACCGTATGTACAACAGAACAAAACTACCCGGTCCTGGGTCGTCCTCACAGTCAGTGCTGTTTGAGACAGTTGAGTCTGTTGTTGCAGCCAGTGTCAGTCTGTCTCATTGAGGGTCTTCCTCTTTTTCACTCACTTTCTGCTTTACCAAGCAGGATGTCATTCTGAAGAGACTATTCCTCTTGAAAACATGACGAAAGTACGGAAGATGAAGTTTCACCATCTCCCTCAGCCCCCCAATCCCTCCTTCTAAGGAGCATTCTGGCAGCACTTCTTCCAAGATAGATTATTCATTCTTCTGGCAGTCCATGGTTTATTCAGTACTTTTCACCAACACCGTAATTCAAATGCATCAGTTCTTTGGGCTTCCTTATTCATTATCCAGCTTTCATATGTATGTGAGACTATTGAAAATACCATGCCTTGGATCAAACATACTTTAGTCCTCAAAGTGACATCTTTGCTTTTTAACACTTTTAATTAAGTCTTTTCCAGCATATGTGCTCAAGGCACTAATACACTGCTTGATTTCTTGACTGCTGCTTCCATGGGTCTTGATTATGGATCCAGGTAAAATGGAATGCTTGACAACTTTAATCTTTTCTCCATTTATCATGATGTTGTTTATTGGTCCAGTGGTGAGGATTTTTGTTTTCTTTATGTTGAGGTACAATCCATACTGAAGATTATAGTCTTTGGTCTTCATCAGTAAGTGCTTCAAGTCCTGTTTGCTTTCAGCAAGCAAGATTGTGTCATCTGCATATTTCAGATTGCAAATGAGTCATCCTGTAGTCCTGATGCCATGTTCTTCATATAGTCCAGCATCTTGGAGTATTTGGTCAGCATAAAGATTGAATAAGTATGGTGACAGGATATACCCCTGATGCATACCTTTCCTGGTTGTAAACTATGCAGTATCCTCTTGTTCTGTTGGAACAACTGCCTCTGGATCTATGCATGGGTTCTGAATGAGCACAATTAATGTTCTGGAATTCGCATTCTTTGCAATCTTGTCCATAATTTGTTATGATTTACTCAATCAAATGCCTTTGCACAGTCAATAAAACACAGGTCAATATCTTTCTGGTATTCTTTGCTTTCAGCCAAGATCCATCTTACATTAGCAGTGATACCCTTCCTTCCATGTCCTCTTCTGTATCTGGCTTGAATATCTGACATTTCCATGTTGATGTACTTCTACAACCATTTTTGAATTATCCTCAGGATAATTTTACTTTTGTGTGATATCAATGATGTGTGATAATTTCTCTAATCTCTTGAGTCACCTTTCTTTGGAATGGGCAAAAAATGAGGACTTTCTACCAGCCTACTTCTCTGCCTTTGTATCTATAATTCTAATAGGTCATTTAAACCAAAACCAAACTCACTCCATTGAGTTGATTCTGATTCAAAGTGACCCGCATTGTGTTTCCAAGGCTGTAAATCTTTAAGAAAGCAGACTGCCTCATATTTCTTCAATGGAGTGATAGGGTTCAAACCACTGATCTTTGGTTAGCAGCCAAATGCTTCAACTACTACACCACCAGAGCTCCTTAATAGGTCATTTAAATAGTAGTCAAAAAAATTTTCCCAAGACATAAGTTTATTTCAGAAGTTTTCTGATTTTTGCTTTTCCTTCTTGATTCTGATTATTAGCAAGTTTTCTTTCTTCTTACTAATTTCTTCAGTTCTTACTTGTCTTACTCATCTTTTTGAACATCCTTACAGCTTTTGCTATAGTCTTCTCATTAAGCTTTGCCATTAGCTCATGCATCTTCTTCGCCATTACCACCTGCATTGACTAGAACATGTGGTGGGAACCTGTTAGATTGTTGCAGTGTAGTGAATTACATGGTATGGCTTTTTTAGCCATAGTCTCTGTAACTCCTACAGGATTATTGTGAATAACTGCTTTTAAACTCCTGATTGTTAAGGTCACCCACCTTGGGTATTTCTGTTGTAACATGAAGTAATCTTCTGTAAAGCTTACTGTCTCAGGTGTAGAGATCTCTGATGTTGGAATTGGTTGGTTTTGCTATGCTTCCAGGCTTAAAATGAGCCCTCCTAGAGACAGAATCTATTCTCACTGCCAGCTGAGAGAGATGCCCGGCTGAGAGACAGCAGCAGTGGAACCAAGAGGCATGGGACAGAGTAGCAAGCTTACCTGGCCCACAGAGGTAGAGGCAGAGGCAGAGGCCAGGCCGAGAGGCCAAGGTCTAGAGAGGCGTGTCTAAGGGCACAGCGGAAGGGAGACTGTCCTGATCAAGGAACTGTATCCTGAGCATGTTCCTGAAGTTGAATTGTAGCCTGTTGCTTCCCTAATAAACCCCATAATCTGTGAGTTCTGTGTGGCCACTGCAGCAAATTATCGAACCCAGCAATGAGGTGGTGGGTGCCGCAGAAGGGACAGTTGGTGTCAAGGTTGGTAAGAGGTATGGAGGGTAGTGGCATGTCTGGCTTTATAGGAACAGGCCTTAGGCTGCTGATGGTGATTCTGTCTTCCTCTTGTGTTAGAGGAGGGCAGAAGATGTGACCTCCTTGCCCCTTTAGCACCTGTCTACTCAGCATTTCCTCTGTACTTCAGAGCTATACCCCTGCCCAACACTGTACTAAGATATCTTTCCACTTCGTGCCAGACTTTCTTATTTAGTTCTCCAGAAGCCTTTGTTAACTGATCCCAAACTAAAGGAACTCTGAGAACTACAGATGGTTCAGTAATTCATTACTAAACTTTGTGTTACCTCAATACCACATTTTAAAGTTTGTTCTGTGTGGGAGTGGTGATGGTTGTATATATAAAACTTTAATTTTGTAGATGTAATATTTTTAAGATCTTAACACTATGTATTCTTTACATCAGTCTAAAGATCAGATCTTGTCACATCTGTAATAAAGAAGAACATTATCAATTAATTATAGTGGTGCTTATGTACTACAGTATGCTTCCTATTTTAAATCTAATTGTTTGAACTCTGACTTAAATTATGAGTCATTATTTTTGTCAGTAACTTTTAAATGTACTTGAATTTTATATCTAGCATATGGATGATTTATAAAGCAAAAAAAAAAAATTCATTTCAGTACAAACCATTTAACAAAACAAGCCATCTATCCTCATACTGAGATAAGTATTAATTAGAAAGGTGACTTGATGATAGATACAAAGTAAATAAAGACAGTTTCAGTTTCTTGGAAAATACCTCAAAATATGTACAACTGATGTTTCATCAGTGGCATTTTTTCCATATGTGAGGAACAGAACATTAGTGTATTTTTTAGTTCTGGAATCTTAAGTTTTCTGTTAGAAGGTTAGACACAGACTCATTCAGTTATTTCAATGCATGGATGTTGTCAAAGTAACGGAATCAAACAATGTTTAGAGCAAGAAGAGCTTCTCATTTTACAGGTGATGATACATAGAGACGAGAAAAACTGGTAGCAAATTTAGGGTTACAACTCAGGTTATTTTATTTAGTGCCTTTCTGCTATATTGAGAAATTACTAACTTAAACCAAACCAAACCCACTGCCAGTGAGTTGATTGCGGCTCATAGCAACCTTATACAACAACATAGAACTGCCATACAGGGTTTCCAAGGTTGTAAAGCTTTATGGAAGCAGACTACATTATCTTTTTCCTATGGAGCGTCTGGTGGGTTCGAACTATTGATCTTTTGGTTAGCAGCTGAATTATTTAATCACTAAGCCAGTAGAGCCACTATTACTAACTTACTAAGGGCTAATTACCACAGTAGAGCTACCTTAGTTGATGAAAAGTGATATATGTTTTTCCCACTTTATGGTCAGTAGGCATTGTTAAGGCTGTACATTTTAAGTTTCTTGAAAACAAGAACTGTTTTATGTCGCCATTGATCTAAATCCACCTAAATCAGCCCCAGGGATACAGGTGAGGAGAGACAACTCAGGGACGCCCAAAGCAGCAGGCCAGAAGAGCAGGAGAAAGGGGATTAAAAGCCAGGGAGCCAGACAGAGGAACAGTCAGCCATAGGGACCCAGATGGGGGTGATACAAGAGGTCTCCAACAGCAAGACAAACTTGTCTGTCGGTTTGTCCTACTGTGGTGACATGTAGACATGAGTTTTGAGGCTGAGCCTCTGGTGTTTAAAACCCAGCAAAATGCACCTGGTGCACAGGTAACAGCCCAACTTCTAGACTGAGACAGACTAGGAAGAAGGAAGAGGCTGTCCACTTCTCAAAGAATTGGCCGGGGAAAACCTTATGAATAGCAAAGAAATCCTAGCCCAGTATGTTATATACAGTGAGAACTCTGCATGTTGATAATGCTGTGTTAAATAACATTTTGCATTTAACATATTAACTATCCATCTAGGCATCCTAGTTCTTTAGTTTTAATTCTTTGTGCTCTAATATTTATTTACAGCCATTTTTGGATATAGTTTTGTATATCTTCAAATTAACAAGTGCAATCGGAGCTCAGGTGAGTTTATTTTTGTCTTTTAAATTACTGTAATACCATGTTATGAATAGCTAGATCATCTATAAGAATTTTTTGCATCTCAAAGAATATATTTTCATAGGATGTACCAAAAAACTCTGACCAGTTATAAAATAATATTGTATTAGAGATTTTAAAATACATTCCAGTTTGGTTTTTGAATTTTCCTCAAGTCAGATATATAGAAAATGTTGTGGCGTTAATAATGAGAAGTGCTTCAACATTGAACATACTTAATTGTTGCAAAGTGATATCTAAAAAGAGATTTAGAGGCAGCCATGTTAATAAGAATGTTAAAGGATTTAGAATGCTATAGCAGTTTTAGGTTTATTTTATAGTAATGTAAATGGTTGCCTATCCCATGAGCCTTATTACCTATTTCTCTGATATTTTGTGATGGTAAGACCTTTCAGTTTTCTCTAGGCATTCTCATTGAATTTTGGTAATTTAATATGTGATATTGTTATATATTTAAAGCACAGCCATATCATAGTGTAGTTGTTTTATGCATATATGTGTGTATGTATGTGTACATAAATTTTGGAGTTGTTTAATAAATAATTTATATAGTGGCTTTTGTTGCTTTCCAAAATACTGGTGAATGCAGTTTTTTTATTTGAATTTTTTGTCTTCCTAAACTCTTAATATCCTGTGATCCAGATTTAATCATTCTTGTAGGTTCTTTTTACTAGAAGAAAGTGAGTAGGCCTAATCTATCTTATCTCTGTGTTATGTTTGGTACTTACTATATTTCTGTAACATCTCCATATATTTCCATTATTGGACTCTCTATTTCTTGAAGGTTGAGGTTATATTTTAGTTATCTCTTTGGCCTATACTTGCAGTAGTTGTTGAAATGCATGGAATCAATCATATTTAATTTTTAAAAAAAAAAATCTCAAATATTCTATATCACATACATTTTGCTAGATAGTTGGAATAAAAAGATGAATAGTAGTAAAAGATGTAGGTAGTGAAACAATTATAATGCAGTATTATATGTCTAATGGTAAAAGCTTGAATAAACTACTTAGTGCACAAAAGAATTAGAGGGGATATTTGAAATGCTTTGGGGAGGATAACACAGACATCCATTAGATATGGTAGGCTTGCCAGAGAGAAGAATAACCTCACTGAGTGGCATATTCAGGAAACAGTTGGTTCTGTATGGCAGATAATATTCCTAATACAAGAATGAGGGAAGGGCCTGTGATAAGATTGGAAGGATAAAAATGAAGCTTCTCTCAGGATGGTCAATGGGTGCTAATGTCACTTACCAAGTTAGAAGGTACAGCAGGAAGAAGCACAATATACAAGAAGGGAAGGCCAGATAAAGCTTATTTAGGGAATTGAGCTTGAGGCATCTACACCATAGTTGAGCAAAGATGTATGGTACTTATTTGGAAATAATATATTAGGTTCATAAAGAATGATGGAGATAAAAATTTGGGGTGAGAAAAAGGCTAAGGAAGGAGCCTCAGGGAATATTAACATTGTAAGAGAAGGTGAAAAAGAAGTCTGAAGTCTGTTGCCAAATACTGCAACAGAATTTTTTCTTGGAATAGAAGAATGTTAAATGCTAGAGAAAAGTTAGGATGAGGACTCTGGTTAGTTTTTAGGTAAGCAAATTCAGGAGAGCCAGGGGGTAGACTGCAGAGGTTGGAGGAGTGGTAGATGAGTAGTAAAGGTATAGAGATCCAGTGATTGTTTTTTCAGAAAAGAAATAATCAAAAACAATTGATCAGAGAAGGAATTTGTTCTAAAGTCATTGGGGTTTATTATTAAAAATTGTACATGTTTGCATCTACTGAATTTATCAAAAACTTGAACTTTTTATATCTTTCTCTCCCAATAATAATAGGGTCCAGCAAGCATGATGGCTTACTTGGTTATCTCTGGGCTATTCCTAACTCGACTTAGAAGACCCATTGGTAAGATGACAATAACTGAGCAAAAGTATGAAGGAGAATATAGATATGTTAATTCCCGTCTCATCACAAACAGGTGAGGAAAAATGTATTACAGCTGCTAAAAATTCCTTTCTATGTATATTGATGTCATATAAATTAACTCAAAAATGTCTGGGACATCTATTTCTGTTACAATGTATATTTTAAAAGGCACTCTGCTGATGCAGTGTGTATTTTAGTGTGTATTTGCTATTTTTGAAAATACACATTACCAAGGATATTGTTGTTGTTGTTGTTATTTGCCGTCGAGTTGGCCCTGACTCATAGCGACCCCTCCTTGGGTTTCCGAGGCAGTTATCACTACGGAAGTAGGATTGCCCAACCTTCCTTCCGAGGAGTGGCTGGTGGGTTTGAACCGCCAGCCTTCTGGTTAGCAGTCAAGTGCCTTAACCACTATGCTACACATTACCAAGGATATTAGTTTTATGAAATAGTAGTCCTGCACATTTCTGACTCTTTGTATTGTTGGTTTGCTACATGGTACCCCTGATTCATCTTTTTATATCTTCTATATTTTTGTTAAGTTTCTTCTAATTTTCTGTAAACTTTACTTTAAATATAGTCAAAATACAATTCAAATCAAATTTACTTACAATATTGCTTCAAAGAAAATGTCTCAATTCACCCACAAATATTTTTATTTTGAAACTATGTTTGGAATACTCAGTAAATGTTACTGCCTGTGTCTCTGCCTATTTTCCCGATAGCTAAAAAGTCTAAAATAGGAAGAGAGAATGTGGGCTTTGAATCTAGCCAGACTAGTTTCAAAATCTGCCTTCTTCATTTATCTGTTATATGACTTTCAGCAAGTTATTCATGTTGTTGTTGTTGTTATGTGCCCTCGAGTCTGACCCGACTCTTAGTGACTCCTCCTTGGGTTTCCTAGGTGGTATCACTATGGAAGTAGGTTGCCCAACCTTCCTTCCGAGGAGTGACTGGTGGTGGTTTGGACCACCTTCTAGTTAGCAGTCAAGTATGTTAGGCACTATGCTACCAGAGCTCCTAAGTTATTCATAGGCTTATTTATTTATAGTATGTCCCCAAGATAGGGTTATTGTGAGGATTAAATATATATAAAGCTTCTAACATAGTTTTTGATATATAGTAGGTACTCAGTACATTTTCTCACCCTCATGTCATATTGATCTGCTTTCAATTTTAAGTCATTTTGAAGATTCTCATATTCACTGTAGAAAAGATTGAAGTTGTCAAGGATTTCATTTTACTTGGATCTACAATCAGCGCCCACAGAAGCAGCAGTCAATAAATACTGTGATGTATTGGGCAGATTTGCAGCAAAAGACCTGTTTACAAAGCAAAGATATCACTTGAGAATTATGGTGCACCTGACCCAAGCCATGGTATTTTGAATCACCTCATATTCACACAAAAACTGGACAGTGAATATGTAAGACCAACAAAGAATTAATGCCTTTGAGCTATGGTGTTGGGAAAGAATATTTAATATACTATCAATTGCCAGAGAATGAACAGATCTGCCTTAGAAGAAGTAGAGTCAGAATGTTCCTTAAATACAAGAATGGTGAGACTTTGTCTTACGTGCTTTGGCTGTGTTATCAGGAGAGACCAGTCCCTGAAGAAAGACATGATGGTGGTAAAGTAGAGAGTTAGCAAAAAAGAGGAAGATCCTCAATGAGATAAATTGACAGAGTGGCTGCAACAGTGGGCTGAAACAGCAACAATTTTGAGAATGGTGCAGGCCTGGGCAGTGGTTTATTCTGTTGTACATGGGGTTGCTATGGGTTGGAGCCAACTTGATGGCACCTAACAACAACAGAGAACTTCCAGAGGTTCAAGCCGGATTCAGAAGAGGACGTGGAACAAGGGATATCTTAGCTGTTGTCAGGT